TAAAGAAAATGCCTCACACTTAAAAAGAACGAAATACAGACAACAATGAGATGAGAACATTTCCCTTATTTCCTTCTTTAATTAACCAACCTGAGCTGGTAGCAAGATACTCTGAGTTCAAAGTGCTGCAGAGACTGAAAATGATCCACCTTCACTGTGTGATCCTTTCACAAAACGATGGGCACTAAAGAAAACCATCTCTAACAATGAGAAGTCTATCATTTCTCACAATCAAGCTTTCTACGCTTGTACTGCAAGTTTTATCTCTAAGTATTTTTACACCTATTGTCTACTGGATTGGACAAAACAAAGGGGAAATATCCACAAAGCTAATGTTGGTGAGTAATTGAAGCGATAACTAAGTTCTGAGTGGCATTTCCATTTCTGTTCTGCTAAAGTGAATGATGTTAAGTAGATGTTAAGTCGAAAACTCTAATTGCTTTTGACATGGGGATTAAATCTGTCAATGGTTTTTGCCCTGTTCTCTTATTTTAGATATGGTTGTGAATCCTATATGAAAGTATATTCCTTTCCTCTTCACTCCCACACATTCAGGCCACACACAAACTCACATATACATTTACGGTTCTGTATATGGTTTGCAGACACATTACCTTATAGACAAGGCAAGTAACATAAAGGAGGAAAAGCCTGTACATGAGACAAGAGTGAGGACTGCAGCAAACTTGAGTAAGTCAATCACTTGAGGGGATAACTCCTAATTATCTCCAGTCAATTACTGACACAGGAGAATGTAAGTCAGTACTGCTAGACTTTCTTATTTTGCAAGAGAAGCCATGAACCCATATGTTTTATAAAATCTCTCAATATTTATATAGTGTCAATTAGTTCAACCTAACTCAACAAACAAACAAGGGAACAGAACACCTTCCTCACTAAAAGCTTATGTCAGTGGGTTGTTTTTAATCAGTTCCCTAATCAGGATATTGCCTCTGGCTTGGCAGAGAATATGAGGAAGCTTATATTTTAATTTCTCCTTTTCACTCCCCTAGGCTGGGAGGTCTTGGACAAGTCCTATAAATATAAGGAATTTGTATCACAAAAACAAACTGATTTGATGTTTTAAAGGATAAGAGAATTTAGAGAACATTTTATCCCACTTATTTATTTTAGAGATGAAGGTATTCAAGTCTAGATAGACTGCTTGATTTATCTAAGGTCCTAGGGGAAAGTAATGTAAGAGTTTACACTAGAAACATAACTTCAGGACCCCAGTCCATGTAGCTACTCTTGTTTAAAGCAACGAGAGTATTCAGGTCAAGCAGGGATGAAATCATAACTATAATTTTTAATTAAAAAAAATTCACTGTTTAAGAACCACTAGAGAACCTCTCCAGCAATACAGCATAGTCTCTATCACATCCTTTTTTTAGAATTATTTTTTAAATGTTTATTTATTTTTGAGAGACAGAGTGCAAGCAGGGGAGGGACAGAGAGAGAGGGAGGCACAGAATCTGAAGCAGGTTCCAGGCACTGAGCTGTCAGCACAGAGCCCGAGGTGGGGCTTGAACTCATAAGCTGTGATAGCGACCTGAGCTGAAGTCAGATGCTCAAATGACTGAGCCACCCAGGTGCCCCTCTATCACAATTTTACTCTGAAATCTGCACTGAACGGATCAATGAGTAAATGAACCCATTATGAGAGAAATCATTGTAGTCAGGACAAAAAGGTCGTCATTAAGGAGCCAATGACCAAAACAACGGAGGGAATCTGTGGTTCAGGGATAAACTGAACTCATGAAAATGCCTTACTTCTCACTGGAAACAGTATTAAATAAAAGAGAACAAAACAGCTTCTTCCTGATGAATCTCTGATTTAGAGCTGAATGGGAATGAATATAGTCTTTCCTAGATATGATTTCTGACTGCTCTTTACTAACGCTGGAAATTCAATTTATTGACTCAATCAAAGTGCCCTGCAGAGAAGAGTATACGCCCTGGCTGAATGTAGGAGATAAAAAGAAACTCGATATTAAAGATGGTTTACATGATAGGCCACAGAAAATATAGCCAAGTCAAGCATGCCCTTGCTTGTGGCTTATTAAAATTCCTTTCTTTTTTCAGGAAAATGTATATACTTTATGGAGCTCTGGCCTAGAATTTAATGCACATTGTTTTTATATTCCCTGTGAATTCCCGCCGCTCCCAAGCTCAAAAAACTTGTCTCCTGCCTTCCTCTCCAGTTGGCCTACTGATTAATTTTTCTCTTTTATGAAAAATTGAAATGCGAGACGAATAAGACAAGCATTGTCCAACTCTTAAAAATGTTAAGGATTGGTATGAAATATTTTTATAAAGTATCAAGCAGAATATATAAATGATACAGATGACAGTTAATGAATACGATAAATTATGCCATCAATATTCTAGTTTGATGTAACAGGGTGAAGCTCCCCTCTGTAAAATATTTCTTGTTGCATAAAATTTTAGTATCATTTTTCCACCTTGTCCTTTAACACCCCCATAAAATGGGGTGTTAGTAGAACACGTAAGAGAGGATTGTAAATTTTATTTACGATTATTTGGTTTTAGATTTGTAGGTAGCTGGCTGGAAAGGTCAGGTATGAAGTCTGGGTGGAAATACGTGACGCGTGAGTCAGAGCCATGGTCAATGCCACTGCAGGACATCCACACAGTGCCTACACTCAGTATGAATGCTTGTGGAGTTTCTGCCCATTGTGGTTCAAATCACAGACATGGGGATTTTGAGTCAATGCAAAAAAGACCCTCTACTGAGATGAGAAATGCGTTGCATTGGTTCATGCAGGTTCTTTGCTTTGTGCATGTGTTTGTTTTCAAGTCTCCTTTTCCTCGAGATGAGTGTAAGCAGATATTTCAACTCATGAATATCTATCAGTTGGCCTATGTGTGTCCCATTCTGAGACACAATGGCTACTCTTGGAGGCTACGAAACATTCTTTGGGAAAGTGATAACTGGCATTTACTGAACACTTACACGTGCTAGGCACTAGGCACTAACTTCCATGTATTATCTCTTGTAAATCTTACAATAACTGTATCAGTTTGAGTCTACTGTCAACGTCTTTTAGCCTAACACTTAGGTTAAGCCACTTGCCCCATCCAGATCTTTCTGCCTAAAATGTTAATCCTCGCAAGGTTTCAACTTCATTCTTTAGTGTCACGATCGCAGAATGACTGGGGACTTGGTAATGGTCATAACATTAAGATCATTCATTTCAGCCATGAACATAAACTCTGGAAAAATACCTGAATCTATCGTGAATTGTACAAGAGCTTTAAATATGTTTTCTGTCCTAGGTTCTTAATCCCCTTTGGTTTTATTTCCATGGGGATTTATGCTGTTTTGGCAGCCACAGCTCACTGTTGACTCAGAGTATTCCTACCAGCCATTAAAATCCCCATCCTTTTTTTTTTTTTTTTTTTAAATCCATGCTACTAAGAAGTCTTGTTTTTTCCCTTCTCTACTCACACTGGAGGAACTTTTGGACATAAGTGCTGAATTTAGCTTTGTTAACAATATTCATCTAAATTTTTCTGATCTTTGTTTTTAAATAAATTATAGACAGTTCTAGGAATTATGATGTTTTGGTATTTTCTTGATCGTCAACAGCAAAACATCCATGGATTTGGGCCATTTTTGAACTGCCCAGTTTGAGCATCGTTCCTACTTGGAGTGAATTATTAGTCTAAATCATGGTGGGAAGCAGATCCCCCAGCCTCCGATGATAGAACTCAAAGGAGGCAGAGTCCCTCTCCCTGTCCCTGGCAGCCTGGGCATGAGCCCGTGACTGGGACTGGCCATTCAGATGATCCTGCCAGGGCCCGAGAATCTTTTTTTTTTTTTTTTTTTTTTTAACATTTATTTATTGTTGAGAGACAGAGAGAGACAGAGCATGAGCAGGGGAGGCACAGAGAGAGAGGGAGATACAGAATCCGAAGCAGGCTCCAGGCACCGAGCTGTCAGCACAGCCCGACGCGGGGCTTGAACCCACGAACCGCAAGATCGTGACCTGAGCCAAAGTCAGCTGATTAACAAACTGAGCCAGCCAGGGGCCGCGGGGCCCGAGAATCTTAAGGGAATGATAGGGAGATGTAGGAACAGTGCAGACATACTCACAGGGAGGTGGCAAGGCAGAGGATGCAGCTTTGAAAGGCCGAGGCATGGGGCTGGCTCCTGCGTTTTCACAGCATGGCCTGGGCTGGTTCCTGCTGCCCATGTTTCTTCAGTTCTTGAGCATCCACAGAGTTGTTTCTTCAGCCTTCACATACATGCCTCTCCCACCCCCGCAACTCTCTTTGGTGCTAAAGATAGCCAGTCACTTTCCAGCACTTGCAACTGCAACCCTGATGGTGGCAGTTCACCCCTCTGGTCTTCTGCTCTCACATGAAAGTGAGAGCCCGCCATCTCACAGCTGGACCAGAGCCACAGTCTCCTGCCTCTGCGTTCCCCCACACCGTGATCTTCATCCTGCAGCCCACTGGGCCATCACTTAAAACTGCAAGTCGTGTGAGGCCACTCATTGCATAAAACCCCTCAGTGGCTTTCCATCACTTGAGGACCCAAACCCTAGCCTTCTACCTTGATTGCCTCCATTTTCAACCTCACATCCCTTCACTTCCTCCCACCCCCAAACTCCAATCCTTGATTACACAGAGCCTGGGCTTACTTCTGAGTATTTATGCTTTGGGGCGGTTGCTAGATTTAAAAAGCTCTTTCACTATCAGGAGGATTAAAAACAAAATCAGTTGCTGTTTACCTGGAATTCAAATTTTACTGGGCGTGTCCTGTATTTTTGTTTGCTAAATCTGGAAACTTACACCTGTGGTTCCTCGGCCTGGCCCTCTCCTCTCTCACTTCCTCACTGAGGCCTCACTAAATCACCTATCCAAAGATGCCACCCCCCACCAATGATGCTGCCTTTACACCATATTTATCAAAGCACTTACTCTCTCTCCAGTTGCCTTACACTTCCATTCGCGACTATATATAGGCTTACCTGTTTTGGATGTGTCTCCAACTAGAAAGTGAATTTCATGGGGACACTGGTCTTGACTGCACTGGCCTCTGCTGTACTCCAGCACCCAGAACTGGGAATGGCAAGCGGGAGATGTTCCATAAATATATACTGGAAGAGCAAGTGAAATTAATGTCTGATAGGAAGCCAAAGAGGGAACCCGAAATTCAATCATTTTCCAAGGAAAATCTTTCTCCTTTCCTTTTTAAAAAAAGTTTCTAACTGTGTGCCAATTACCCCCGAACTTTAAAAGTTATCTATATAGTAATAGCACTGGGCTTGCATAAAAGTCCACTTGCAATAAGGCATCTTACCCAAAAACCATGGTTATTTCATTAGAAATACTCAACGGGACACTGACTCCTAGGAAGCTATGTGTAGTTTCCTTTCTCCTCAATGAAGGTAGGATAATTATACCATTTTTCAAATCTAATTTGCTTTGTATCCTCTCGCTGAAAGGCGAGAAAGACACAATGAAGACTTGCCTTATTGTTTTTCTATTTTTGTTTGAATACGGATTTGAAAAGGATCCCTCACTGTTCCCCTTATTTCTCGGACACCCTGAATGTTCCTTGTGCTACCTCCAGTATGATGAATGGGACACTAGGACCACATGAGTTTATTACATAAGGAGGCATCTGTTTTTCCCCTTTTCAGCCCAGCTTCATAAGAGCCATCAGTATTTTAATAGAGTTGGGTATCTATCTGGAGGTTTATAAACCTGGGAAAATGAGTTTGTGTTCCACAATGTAGACATGGATAGTTTTATTAATTTGGAGAACTGATCCCCCTGGAGAGTGAGATTCTGTTTGAGCTGTCGGCTAGCCTTTCAGTCGTTCTAAAGTCCTATGCTTCTAGTTTGTGAATAGAGCTGCAGAGCCTACGGAGAGATGCAACCTTTCTATAATTTGGAGAAGGATGGGGCCAAATGTGAAGTGAAATTGGGAATGCACATCATTGTGACAAGAGCCCCATCCAGACTGAGAGAGGGAGGGAAATAGAGGCAGGAAAAGAGGGGGCAGGTGGGGAGGAAAGAATTTACTGATCCTGTAACTGAGAAGTCTGGAGGTAGGTCTGGCTCAGGTATGGTTTGATACAGGGGTGCATCTCATGCCATCTCACTTTTTCTGTCTCCGACTTCCACCTCCTTCTTGCCTGGCTCCATTTTTGGTAAAGTTGTCCATAAAACAGTGGCATGATGCCTGCCAGTCTCTCCAATCTCTATTTCATCCAACTAGTGACCTCAGCAGAAATAAGAACTTCTCTTGGCTAATTCTGTCAACAAATGTCCCAGCGCTGATTCTCGAGAGGCTAAAAGCTGGCTCAAGTGCCTTCCCTTGAAGCCATGTCTGTCACCAGGGGGATAGAACATACTTACTAGCCAGCCCAGGTCAATCCTGCCCCTTGGTCAAGGAGGAAGTGGTAAGTAATATTGACTGTGAGTGGGGAAGGGCTGATTTATTGAAGAAATTTGGGGTGCTGTTTTCTAAATAAAGAAGGAATGATTATATAGCCTTCTTCTCCGCCCCGCTCCCACTTCCCCTTTCCCCATAATGCTCTACTGCTCTTACACTAATGACTTCCTAATAGCTCAGTACATTTGGAGGCCCAGAGGCTGCCGTCACTTCATTGTACCAAGATGAACACTGCAGACATGTTAATATAAACTGGACACGATGTACATTTGGCTTTCAAAAGACTAGAAAGCAACCAGCAAAGTATATTCCTGAAGGTGTTTTCTTTCAGGCAACAAGTCACAGAGCAGAAGAAAGACCCTTCCTTTGCAAGCCTTTCACATACTACATGTTTCCTCATCCTATTTCTCTCAGTTCTCTCAAATTCAGGAGTGTTTTTGGAAGGAACAACACAGCTTCGAGTAACAATAGGGACCGCCTACATTATTCATCTAAGTTTAAGTTATAGATGAAATAATGATTATGCCCCATTCCTAAATATATAAAACCATCACCATGCATGATAATGATAAGCCATCTTGCCGTGTGCTTCCTATTTCCCGGTCACTAAGTGAATAATGCTACAACGACTTTATGGGGCAGGTACTATTATTACCTTCATTTTACAGATAAAGAAACCGAGGCACAGAGAAGTTAAGTAACTTAAGCCAAGTAACACAGCTATGAAATTGTAGAGCTGGACTCAAACCTAGGCAGTCTGATTTGGGCATCTGTGCTTTCACCATCAGATTTTGTGTTTCTTACCACGTTTTGAATTTGCACGATCATCCTCCCTGAAGTGGTGTATCTGAGTGTTATCAGCCATACTCTGCCAATGATGGAACCAAGGCTTAGAGAAGGGAGGAGGGCAGGTTTCAGATTTTCTGACTCCTGTCTTTGCATTGTCAGTAATTCCTGGCTCGTGCTCTAAGCTGTCCTGCCTGCACCGTGCTCTCCCATCCCCCTACCACTCCTTCCAGGCAAACCTAGCGTGGGATAAACAAACATCAGACCAACCCGTGACGTTGGTGAGAACAAAACCATTGGACCCAGACTGCTTTCGTCTGGATGCCAACTCCGTCTCTTACTCACGGGCCCATCACCCGCAAACTTTAAAAAAGTAATCTGTATAGTAACAGCATAGGTTATGACTCCTCTGGTCTTCATTAAGTGCCCCAAAGAGTCCCTATAAATAAGGATGAAATGAATTACTGTCTATAAGAGTGTTGAGAACAGTGCCTGGCACACAATACAATACATATTCCAGGACCCGTGTGTGCAGGGCCTTTTACTATTAGTTGTCAGGACTTCATACTGTTTAAAACACAAATCATCCCTCCCACCCCACACCCAAGGACATGTGGTAATGAATTTACTTTGTATTCTAATGATCTCTCTCTTTCAATATCTATATCTACACTCAACCTTTTTTTACTAGTGTTCTTACTCCAACAGAGAGAGTCTCATGACTCTGGCCATTTTCTGTCAAGTTAATCGGCCGACTTGGAATAACAAGCATGAGGAGGTGTGGGAGACCAAAGCCTAGGTGTGGAACAGTCAGGAGAAGTGAGACGGAACCTGAACCCAGGCACCTAAGGACCTGTGTGATCTTAGGAAAGTTACTGGACTTCTCTGAATTCCACTCCGTTCTGTGAAAAATGAGACTAGGAACACTTCCAGAACCGAGTGATGTGAGGCTGACTAGTGCATGTACTAAAGGCATGGCACACAGCCGGAAGTGGCAGCCGTTACCAGTAATGATTCAGCAGGCCTCCAGTTCTTATTACAACAGTGTTTTTCTGATTACGTGCTTTTGGCCTGTGAGAGCAGAGTCTCTGGAAGGTCTTTCAGAATTTTGCCTGCTTTGTGATGGTCTTTGCGGGCAGACGGTTCAGAGCAATGCCCCTGTTTACTGGCCAGCTCTTTAGTCTCCAGACATAAGCATTTTTATATTTACTCTTCATGAATATAGCAGTTATGTGATGTTTTAAAACTGTGGCCCAGTAATAAATGCCCAGCAGCCCAGACTCAGCTTCTATTTACTGAATCTCTGTGTGCCAGACATTTTACTATCGTCTACGCACTGAGCCTAGGACACTGGGAATTAATGGAACAGGAAATGCAACTTGCCTAAGTCATCGAGTTCCAAAGATGGGGGGCCAGCTCTAAAACTCATGCTCTTCCAGTCTGTTAATTATTTTCCCTCCTCTCCTTCTCCCTTTCCCTCCTGTCTTCCCTTCTTTCCTTCCTCTCTTCTTCACTCCCTCTCCTTTCTTCTTTCTTTATCACCTCTTCTTTCCCTCCCATTCCCCTCTCTCTTTTTTTTTTTTTTAATGTTTATTTATTTTTGAAAGAGAGAGCATGAGTAGGGAAGGGACAGAGAGAGAAGGAGACAGAGAATCTGAAGCAGGCTTCACGCTGACAGCAGAGAGCCGATATGGGGCTGGAACTCACAAACCAAGAGGTGATGACCTGAGCTGAAGTCAGACGCTTAACTGACTGAGCCACCCAGTGCCCCTCCCTCACCTTCTTCTTCATCCAACAGATGTTTTCTGAGGACCTACAAGAATGTCAGGGTCTTGCTGATGTCTGGGAAAAAAAAAAAAAAAAAAAAAAAAAAAAAAAAGAAGGAAACACTTCCAGATACAGGTGACTTACTAGTCTCGAAAATCATTTTCTCAAGTAACTGTGGGGTTCTCATGAGTGAATACCCACCAGAACTCAAATCTTGGCCAATCTACTAGGTGTCATCCCAGATTATTTCAAGTAAAGTTCTTTGTTTTCTTTTGAAACGTTGACATGTAGGCTCTTGACAGGAAATTTGAATTTAGAGTATGGATTTTATTAAAGAAAGAAACAATACAAATATAAAAAATAGAAACATCTAAGGGTGAAAATTAGGCCATGAAACTATCAGTATATTGGTGCTTAAAAGGATATTACTGTGGTATCATATTCTATGCCCATATAACTTTCTTAAATCCATTTGTATAGGCCTGACAAGGAGAAGGAAAGGTAGAGTGAGTAGAAGGGAGATGACAGAGAGAGGACAATGTAAATAATGCAGGAAATGTAAGCCGTACTCCATCAGTGTCCGCCTTGGATTGAGCTTGGGATCTGATGGGAATCTACTATTTCCAGGCTTACCTCACAGTGCAGGTACCTTGCCATGCTGAATGTGATTCTAGAGCTTAAAACTATTTTTTTTTATTATACATGTCCCCTAAATGCCAAGGACCTAGTGTTCAAAAAAAAGGGGGGGGGCGGTGATCTTAATGGCTGTGCAAGAGTGACGGACAACAGCATGTTGAGCTCTAATGCAGTGCCATTTAAGGGCTTATCAAGATGGTAATTTTGATGGCACACATCTTTCAGCTTACGTTCTGACTTAGGAAGCTTACCGTCTTGTGGTAAAACACACCTCTGCAGTATATTTAAAATCAGTGTCTGCTAAGCTCCCTATGTAATATATAATGGATGTGCATTTGCAAATTGTAATAATCTCTAGAAGGAGATAATTTGCAAGGACATTAACTTGATAGGCAGGGCACCATTAATTAGAAATCTTAGCATGTTGACTTCTAAATGGCGAATTAAGCCTCTGCTGAGATCAACTGCA